GTGTTATAAAGACCTACCATAAGTTAGAGAGATCACTCTTTCAATTTAAAGCTGTGGCAGCAGTATTACATTTCTGCAGCATAGTCTGGCTAGTAGCATCGTTTTGGTATTATTTGTATCACAAACAAGACCATATCGTATCATTCCAGATCAGTAAAGCATACTCGCTGTCTTTACATCTCACCCTTATGCATGGAAAATTATGCATCATTTGGGTTCCTAAGCAGAAATACAGGAATTAAAAGTCAGAAATGAATCGAGCTGAGATTTCAATTATGCCTAGCTTCAATGTCTCTTAGGATCACAGGATAATTTAGGAAAGGTCTTTTGGACTGTCATCGGGTACAATCTCCTGTTCAGAGCAGGCCATTTTTGAAGTTGGGTCAGGTCACTGAGTTTTGAATGCCTCCGAAGACAGAGATCTCACAGTGCCTCTGGGCCTCTGACCATCCTCATAGGGAACAACAAGAGTTTACATTTTTGCAACATGTCCATTATCTCTTGTCCCATTGGTATCAAGCTCCAAGAATAATCTAGTTTTGTCCTTTCTATAGCGTACCGTGAAGTCTGTGAAGACTTCTAAGATCTCCCTTTTAGCCTTCTCTTTGCAAGATGAAACCAGCGCAGCTCTCCTTGCCCTTCTTGGTGCACTGTGTGCCCCAGCCCCTGACCACCTCAGTGTCCATCCACTGGAATTGCTTCCATTTGCCAATGTCTTTCCAGTACCGGAAAATCCCAGACTGGATCCAGTAATCCAGGTATGGTCTCACAAGTGCCAAATAGAAGGGAATAATCCCTTCCCTTGACCTGCTAGCCAGAAGTGTGCTTACACAGGCATTATGCATCGGGCTTTGGTTGGCACAAGAGTGCACTTCTGACTTCTGTAGCTTGTCTGCAACACCACTGAGTCCTTTTCTGCAGACCCATCCAGTCAGTTTCCAGTGCCACTCAACACTTGTTTTGTCCCAGGCTCATGACTTTGCATTTGCATGTGTTAAACTGCAGAGGTTTCCTGTCAGCCCATTTCTTCAGCTTGGGTGTCCGTGGGGAAGTGGTACAGCTCTATTCATCTGCCAGAACATGAACGATATTCTTAAGGTCCTTTCTCTAAGCATATAAGTACCTCAGCATCACAGAATCTTGTTTTTTCTTCCCCCCCCTCCCCCCCCCTTTTTTTTTTTCCATTTCTCTTTCAAGGAATGGTCAAGGTATTGTGAGAGGATCATTTTTTCAAGCATTTCTTCCCATGGTGGTCTGTGTGGCCAGTCAATCACGTAGACTCTCTTGAGCTCATGCTAGGTGAGATGATGAGATGACTGAGAGATGAGCATTTGTCACAATTTATATCTGGTGCTGTGCACATGTACAAGCTCCATAGGCTCTTGCTCACATTACCAGCTGCTACAGTAAGTGGGGGAAGCTGAGGCTGAAGCAAATGCTGCCTGCCTGTGGCTGCAGAGGAGTTCTGGGTCAGAGCATTTCCTGCAGTTGTCTCCTCGTGCTGCTTGGTACACGTCACTCAGGTCAGTTCTGCCTTTTTCATCGGAGCTGGCAGTGCTGCACAGCTGCCTGCCTGCTGACTCCCACTGGATCAACACTTAAAATGAGTGCTTAAAGAAAGATTAATGTCACAGATACAGTGTGATTAGAGACGGTGGCTAGAAAATCAGTGAGGTATAGAAAATAATTGTTTATTTTCTATGCACGCTTGCTCTCTCTGTTTAATATGTTCTGTGCTTAAAGCCCTATTAATAATACACAGTCCAGGTTTCCTTACCTGGGTGTATGCTTTGCTCAGCTCCTTGTTGGATATGTATCAGAAGTCCTTAGCAGTGGAAAACAGAGCTGAAACCTTGCTTTTTCAATTGAATAAAATGGTATGACAAATACCAGTGGCCTAATAAAGTCTTTGAATAAAGCTGTAGCCAATTTCTATTTAAAATACTCAGAGGAGTCATTATTTTACTTACAGACCACTTCTAAAGTTGGGCACATGCTGAGTTGTGCTTTTAAAATGATTTTTAAAGAAGCCTTTGCTCTCCTTTGGCTTTTCCTTTAGCCTTTTCCACCTCGATTGTTCCCATACTTGCAGGGTATTTTGCAGTCAGCACACAGCAGCCTGAAGCCAGCCTGACACTGAGAGAGCAGCCAGTATGGGAACGCATCTTCCTGCCACCTCTGTCACCAGCACCAGCTTATTCTGCTCTCTGATGATTTCTGGCAAATATCTGGATCAAAATTAACTTACAGAGACCCAAGAAATGTAGTTTTCAGATTTGGCCTGCTCCATCAAGTGACTGCAGGGGTACTGAAGCAAATGCAGAGAGAGATTGAGAACAAAAGGTAGCCCAGTTAGATTGGTTGAAATTCATCTGACCCCAGCAAAGTGATGAATTCTTGAAAGTCAGGAAGAGGAAAACTTGATAGTCAGGAGGGAAAGAAGGTTAGCATCAATCTGCATTTGGATAAGGTACGTGTTTTTGACAGATAAGCCCTGCACCATGTAATTTTAGTAGTGAGGATCAAGCTGAAGATCAATGCTGCACACCAAAGATTTCATTGACATCTGAAACTTTTAAAAGTTTCACTCACAGAATCACAGAATGATTTGGGTTGGAAGGGACCTTAAATATCCTCTAATTCTGACCCTCCTGCCTTGGGCAGGGACACCGTCTACTAGACCAGGTTGCATACTTTGGGTGATAAATTAAAAACATAAAAATCACAGATTATGGCAGAACCAGAAAAAAACATTCCTATCCTTTTTCATTTCAGTACCTTCCCTGTCCTGTTGCTGTAGATTTGACCCATTGCTTGTGGATTTGTCCAGGACCCCACTATTAGTAAGACTTCTTTTCAAAATGTAAAATTTTACCAGCTACATTCAGCTTTATCCCAGGAAGTACAGAAGTGAAAGAAAAGGCTGTAATTTGGTGATTTCGATCAAAGCTGAAACACTGAGTTAATAGCGTTGTTTTGTTCGAGGAAGGCTTCTTTTTTATTTTATCCACTCAAATGGATTTGAGCACTCTTAGTGCTCACTGATGGAGAATGGTGAACAGCACCTGAGCGAGCGGGTGCAAATGAGCTGTTCTGCTCTGTGATGGATATAATTCTGGAAGGAGTTGCGTCTTTTGGCTTGAAAGCAAATGTACTGATACCTGAGCAGGCACTGGGAAACAAATTACAATCTGTTTTGTCCATGTTGGCATTTCTGTTCCACACTTCCTGAACATTGTGAGATTGAACAGATATAATTGGAGTAATACTTTACAGGGGAAGAGCAAGGATAATAATACGTAAATCTTTCATCCTTTTATGAAGTCACTTTTATTTAATGCTGTTCATTGAGCAGTAAAAAGAGCTGGAAGTCTTACAAGGAATGCAAAGAAATAAAACTGGCACAGTGAAAGCCTTTCAGTACAATACGATTGTTGATCCTTTAAAATCACAAATCATCTTTCTATTAATTCACTGTAGAATAAGGTCTCTTCAAGATAAGACTCAGCAGTGCTGTGGAGTTGGTATTTAAAGTATGTCCATCTGCATCTAAACGAGTAGCTCCAAGACAATCAGATTATGCAGTAGTTACTTTGGTGAGAATATCGCCTAAGTGGAATGGAAACTTCATTTTGAGTCTAATATTAGACCCTGCTTTGGAAAATTCCTTTTAAATGATCACAAGCTGGGAATAGCAAAAGAATTTAACTTTCGACAGACAGCATTCACCAAGAATTTGTTTTTAACTGCTTATGTTTGGTCCCTGGGAAAGCAGATGTGAAAAACTTACCAAAGTGAATTGACTTGACCTGATGCAATGTTTATATCAGTAGTTGATAAGTTTTCCTCCCTCGTCTAATTTGTTCAGGATATTTTCATTCTTCAAGCATGAGTAAGTCTGGCTTGGAATAGTTCGAATGCTTGTTAGTCTAATAATCTGAAGCTTAAAACATGCAGACATTATTGCCTATAAAGGGGTCTGAGCAAAGTTGAACTATTTTGGTTGTCTTCCCCAGATGGGGATAACTATCAGTTTTGAGATCAGCAAAGAAGAACGTGAGACAGTGCCGCTTACCTCTCAACAGCTCACAAAGCACCTTGAGATCTGTGTGTTTGTGCTTCAAAATGCTGCGTGAGTTTGGGGAACCCTTTGAATGCAGAGATCTAGGTGTCTTTTTGGGCACCTTTCCAAAGGACCGACTTTCGGCGGCAGCTCAGGATACTGGCAACCCCAATGTCAAAGCAAATTCGAAGGGTGATTGATTATTTGAAGGGTACTTGATTATTCCTGTGGCAGAAAGGACTTTAGGAGTTAGGAAATGCGTGACAAATGATGCACAGCTTAGGGATCTTTAGAGCCACCAGTATATCTTAGCTTAGCTTTTCTCTTTGTTAATCAGACACTGCTGCTTTGGATATTTTAATTAATCCATTCATTCCTAAACAAGTCCCCTTCTGCCTGGAGCATGTCTAAATAAATTATTTTTTGCAGGAGGAAGGAGGAAAATAGGGATTTATGCGTTGAGCTCCTCTCCCCAGCTTAACCCTGTTCACAGGCTTCTGTGATGTGGCCATTGTTGCTGCTGTTTGTAAGCTTGAGGAGCATCCATGGGAGCTCCCTGCAAAGGAGGACTCCAGCCAGACCTTGCTCTGCCAGTGCAGGACACAAGAAGTGAAAAAGCCATCAACAAACAACAAAACAGTATAATGAATGCAAAGCCAGGGCAATGGTTTCACTGGGGAAAGAAATTAGAAGGAGAACACTGATATTTTTGACTGTTCTTTAGTGTGCTAGTTGGATTTATGTGATCCAAGAATATATTTCTTAGAGGGAAATCAGGTTGTGATATTAAGTGTCTCTTAAATTTTGTAGCTTTTTTATGAGGTGCACCACCAGCCTTTCTGTCTTTTTATTTGTACCTGTTGTATATAATTCTGCTGTAATTTCTGGTCTTTCAGGAATTTCTAAATGTCTAAACTGCTGATCTGTCTCCTTGCAGGCAAGTCTCACCTGGCCATAGTACAAAGAGTAAACAATGAAGGAGAAGGGGATCCTTTTTATGAAGTCCTGGGAATTGTCACTTTAGAAGATGTGATTGAAGAGATCATCAAATCTGAGATTCTGGATGAAACAGACCTATACAGTGAGTAGAAATATTTATACTTTTTTTTTTTTTTTCCAGAGGAGAGGGAAGAGTCTATCCAGCAGCAGCTGTGTCTTATAACTGTTGATGAGATACAAAATGTTGTAGAGACATAAGTTGCTGGTTTAAAATATCAGTGGACAAATAACCTGCAAATCCCTTAAATAGTCAAAGTGATTTTTGTTTTCACAGCATGGGCACCTCACCCCTTTAAGCTGTATTAATTCAAAAATAGGACAGCTTTCTTTATTTGATCATTCCATCTAGAAGACTTAGATGTGCAACATCCTGGTCTCTCCGGTTAGCTGTTCTCCACCACAGTGGCCTAGTTTAAAGCTCTTTGTTCCAGCACTCATAACCTCCCACACTTTCCCCTATCCTCTCTCCACCTCAAGGGCCTGTAGTCTATGTACTCACTGCATTTTAGAAAGAAACCAGGCAGATATCCATACCTCAGGGATGGAGACTCAGGAATGGATAAATACCTCAGGAATGGAGACTCTTTAGAGTCAATCTCTGTCACTTCATTCAGAGAGATCCTAAGAATGGAAAAGCCTCTTCAGGGCTAAAAATCAGCAAGTCCTAAATGACTCTTTTTTTTTTTTTTTAAGTTTTTATTGCACAGTACAGCTCCTTCCTTCCTTAGTGTTAACATCAGTTAAGGCAAATGATGGTACAGATTGAACATTACCTGGGACTTTTTTTTCCCCTCGCTTCAGTTTTTCTGGTCCTTGACCAGTTACCTAAACTGTCTTTGCTTCTGTTCCCATCTGCACAATCTGGCCTGTGCACATGGAACTTCCTTTCTGTCATTCTTCATCTGTCTTATCTGTGCTTCGATCGCTTGCTGGCAGATGCTATTTTTTACTTTGTGTTCAAGTGTAGCAGAAGGATGTCTCTAAATTCTATTGTGACAGAAATAATAGGAATGGTCATTTTAAATATCTTTCACACTGTTTAGCTGACCTTTGCTTTCTTTTTCTTTTCTCATGAAAAGGATCTGAATGTTTCTACAGCATCTTTTTCAGGCCAAAGCAGGCAGTCTTCTATCTTCCTTCCAAGCCAAAAGCCAAATGAGCACTTTGCTCTGTAGGATAGACCTACTTCTGCTTTTCCTAATAGATTGGTTTTGCCTGAACTACTTTCCATAGCTGGTCGGTATTTTACCAGAATTTATGTGCCCAAAGGTTCATGTAAATCACAGTTTTGTTTTACACTGCACTAAATGGTCTCATTACTATGCAAATCACAGAAGTCCAGTTAGTATTGATCTTCTTCATACTGCCACAACTTAACTGCTGGGCTAATCAGTTACAACATAATGCTTTTGCAGGGTGAATTCAGACTTTCTTTTGTAATCTAAAACAGTGGCATGGTTTCTTTTTCTTGTTTGTTAAGAGGAACTGTATAGATCATGCTGTGTTGTTCCCTGGGAAAAGAAAAAAGCATTGACCATTAAAAGCATGTTGGAGGGCAAGGAAATGATAATTTAATTTTACTATCTGAAGACTTCCTAGATGAACAAAATAGAGCTGGTTCATTGGAAACTGTCCTTCCTGGGAAGGTTTTAGTATAGAAAATCCCTAGTTCAGATTAGGAGGGAAGCTTAACTTCCTAGGCTTCCTGGAGGATGCAGGAAATTTTGAGGGGTGGCTCCTTCTGTGTACCATTAAGATGACCTTCTGATTCCAGTATGAAGCACTGGAATTCATTCTGCTGTTTAGATCAAAGGAAACTGGAATGGTAAGGGAGAGAACAGAAATGCAGAGAAGCTAGGAGAAAATGTGATAGGTTTTGGATTCAAGCAGATTGGTATGCTGTAACCACTTCCAATTGGTGTAGTGATTGGAACATGCTTTTGGCTTGCTGAAAGTAGCTTATTGCCCATGATATGTTAAGGTAGCTTCTTTTTGATCTTGATATCAGTGTGTCAGTGCTAGTAACCCCCTCCAGTATCTGAAGTCTCTGGTGCTGTTCATTATAAGGCCAAGACAGCTTGCTCAGAACTTAAAGCCTTAGGATTTGCTCTATGCTAAGAAGTAAGGTTTGCTTAAAAGCAGACCTTATGACAAAATTTGGCAGTGTTATTATGCCTTTGTTCTGAAGTTTTAAACCTGTTTTGTTGTGCTTTGATGGAAACTGGAGATTGATGGAATGGCTGACCTTGGTGTTGGAGCTGTGCCTTTCTGCTGTTTCTGTGAAAATGCATTTCAGCTGTGTCAGGGTAGAAGCAATTGTAAATTTACAGTTTTTGTTAAAAGCTGCTGAAGCTCTGCAGCTGAATTTCTCAAGGGCTGTGCACCCAGTAGACACATGGCATTATTTCACATTGCTCTGCTCTGCCTTATGGCTTGCAGAGATGTTGGGAGCAAGAGAAAGTGTTAAATATATTTAATCTATCAACATCTGCATGGGCTGAGTGCTTCAGGGTGTGTGACTCCATAGCAGGGATGCTGATGGGCTGCAGAGAAGGGGTTTCAGTTGTGATACAGGTGGGCTCTGGAAATGTCTCAGCCAGTGTCACAGAGACGAGCTGTCAGAGTGTTTTGCTTTTCGTACTGGAAAGTTGGAGCGTTTGATGCACTACAGGAACGTGTGCTGTGCTCCTGTGGCCCCAGCTATTGTAGGGGTGCATTCCCCAAGCTTCTCAGAGGCCAAGAGGACACAATCTAAAACCCAGGGCTTTTCTACAAATGAATTAGCCTTGGCTAGTCACTTCCCTGAGGGAAAGACCACATCTTACCCTAACATTCCCATTTCCAAACAGCTCTCAAAACAAGTATGTTAAATATATGTGCTAGTAAACTCTGCATCTCTCTCCCGTGTAAACCACAGAGCTACAGGACTAAAAAACTGTTTGCCCTCATAAGTATTTCCACTGTCATCCAGTGAAACCGTAGCAACACAGAAGGTTATGCAACCCTGATTTGCCTGGCAGGACCTGCAGATATTGGCAGTGTCCTGCGCCAGGAGAGCAGAGCTTTTTGCAGCTGGAATCTAATCTTTCGACACACCCAGGCTGTTACCACCTTCCAGAAAGAGGTGTTTTTATGCTGTTGGCCAGAAGGCTTGTGGACTTGCTAACCTGTGGTCTAGCGCTGGTAGGCTGGAGGAGCAGCATCCTTACAAGAAGCTATTTTAGGTTGTTTTAGAGCTTCAGGTTTAGTCATGCTGAGTTTCTGACGGTTGCCAAAACACGCATGAGACACCGGGCAACCTAGTTTTCCCAGCTCGAGACCAAAAGAACTAGCAAAACTAGCTTCATTAATTCCTAAGCCTTTCTTTTAAAATTAAACAAACCCACAGGCTTAGAAAGAACTGCGCAGCGTGTGGGGCACAGACTGTCAGCCTGGGTGTGTGCATCACCTGGGGGAGGAGGGAGAAGGGGATGTGGGGGGTGCTGAGCAGGGCTCTGGCATCCACCTCCCACTGCCCCGCTGCTGACTGTGGGCACATGGTCATTGAGTCTGGGCCTCTGGGATTTGTATTGTTCCTGGAGTATCAGAGAGCTGCAAATATCAAAGTTGCTAGTCCCTGTCCTTGCTGTTTGGTTATTGTACAGTCCTTGTGTGCCAACAGAACCATGCGTCCATTTGAAGATAGATTTTTGTCCTCATTCTCTTGTCTGGAGCTCACTGCAGGTGTCTACGCTGATTAATACAGACCCTAAAGAGAACAGGACAAAAAGGAACACACAAAGACAGCAATAACTCTTCCCTGCAAGTTGTCCAGGTGCATTTGCAGTGCCCATCAGCTGAACGGGCGATCTGAGGTTAGAACTCCCTGTTCTGTAGCTGTCTTCCATACTGGGCTGGCTCCTTCAAAAAAATAAATGCAGTTGTTGTCCTGCATCAGGAATATGGCAAGAGGGATGACAACATTACTTGTATTTGGACCTATCCTCTTCTTGAGTTCTCCCCTACAGCCCAGGAACTCACGGTCAGCCTTGCTGCTTTGGATTTACAGGCAAATCTAAATATTTCCAGAACCTCCTGAAGACAGCTACAGTACTTGTTGGTATCTCACCTAGGATTATGCTGAGGGTATCCCTCACATGGCACGTTGTTCATGTTGCAGAACCAAACAACATCACGTCACTTTAAAAGCAGAGATTGCTTAGGTCTGCCAAGATAATTTAAGTGCCCACATCTCCATCTCGGTGTAGAAAGGACAGGAAATACCTGGTTACAGATTTAATTAGTCCTGGGTTTCTGTTTCTTACAAGAAGCTCGGAAATTATCTGAATAGCAAAGAACATTTAAGACTATTCCTCACAAAAATATGCAGACTTGGTGCCTTTGCTCTCACTGTGTAGCATTTTTCTTGGGAGAAGGTTTTTGGACAGGCTGCCAAGGAAACCATGGGAGGAATTGAAATCCCCCATCAATTGACGAAGAGCCTGGGTCTCTTACCCTGGCGACTGAAAGATAGAAAGGTTTAAGGCATCCTCCCGTGATGTGATGCTGGTGCTGTATTTGGGTACCAGAAATGCAGTGTGAAGCTTGCTGTGGGAGGGCTCACTGACAGAAGAAATAAAGGAATACAGGAATAGTGCCCTGCTGAAGAGACATTTCCCTGCCTGTACTTCTGGTGAAGTCACTGAAGAGGGCAATGACACAGCTCCTTGTGAGACAGCATCTCAGGTGCAGCATTGCAAGAAATAGCATTCTCCGAGCTTTTCAGAAAAGAAGTAAAAGATTATTTTCTTCTAAGGAGTGTATATAAAAATAAAAAAGAAAGCTATTTATCACAGATGCTCTTACTGAACACCACCTTTCCATTGTTAGTAACACTGAGAGGGACCCCTCCTGCCCACCTAGAATTGCCCCCACACCGTGCACAAGATGCAGAGCTGCTCTGCATTTAGCTGCTTGCAAGCAGACACTTCTCTCACAGTGAAGTGACAGAGATTGTGGGTTCCTGGGTCTGAGCCCGCAGCACAGGTCACCGATTATTTCTGTTTTTTTTTAAGGTGTATCAATGAGCAGGGCTTTGCACGGGTACTGCAGAGGGGTCTGTCTGCACAGTTTGCTCTGGGTGGCTGTCTGGGCTGACTCCATCCAGCGCAGTTCGTGTTGGACCCCATTCTAACAGAAATCGCTTCCTTCCTTTCTTCTCTCACCCTCCCTTCCCCAGCTGATAACAAGACGAAAAAGAAAGTAGCTCATCGGGACAGGAAGCAGGACTTCTCTGCCTTCAAGCAGACAGACAGCGAGATGAAGGTTAAAATATCACCGCAGCTCCTCCTGGCAATGCACCGCTTCCTGGCAACAGGCAAGTGTGGATTATCTGTTTTCACCATCATGCCAGAGCCTCGGAGGCAGTTTGTCAGCAAAGGCCGGTGAGGTGGGTGGGACAGTGCAGGCGGGAAGGGAGGCTGGATGGTGGGGTGACAAATAATGCCACTGTTGTGTTTTTCTTTTTAAATTCTCTCCTCTCCTGTGTTCAGTGTCGGCATGAACCCTCTGAGACATTTACCAGGGGTGGACCAGTAACTTTAAATTGGTCTGAAAGGTAAGGATGAATGCCAAGTGCCGCACTGCATGTCTAGAGTCCGTCAGATTAACGACTAGCAAGTGCACCCCATTAGGAAGAGCTCAGGGAACAAACCACAGACGACTCGATACCACTGGCCAGCTGACTGTAATTGCACTCTGGCACTTCATCCAGAAAGAGATGCTGGACTTTTTGCAGGAAGGTGTAAACCTGTTCCATGAGACTTTTTGACTCGAAGTGAAAAGCAATCCCGACACATTTAATGCAGACTGCACAGGCAGTCGAACTGTACTTTTAAAAACGGATTTTCTTGCTGGCTTGTGTGACCTCCGTTGATGGCTCCAGGTTTCAGAGGACAGTTGTCTCCATCCCAGATCACCTTGATGCTTTAGCCCTTGGGTGGGCAGTCTGGCAGAGAGGCCAGGGGCTTGAATGGTTTCTTGCAGCTGACATTGCCTTCCGTCGTAAAGTTGGTCCCTTCACCTCAGAGATGAGACCTGTTAACAGGAGAGCTTGTGGAAAACATACCTTCCTATTGCTCACGTTGTCTCTCTTTGACATATAAAGACTTCTCATGTGCAGGCCTTTCAGATGGGCGTCTTTCACTGCTATATTCGACATATATTGATGGATTGAAATTCATTCTGTCTCAAGCTGGCCAGCTCATGCTGGAAAGCAGTACTTCCCCTCCTAAGACACAGTGACTGCCTGCCTAGATGCTCCCAGTCCGCCTTCGTGCTTTATTTTGCCTCTGCGACTTAAAAGAAACACGTGCGTGATCGGTTTTCACACCTCAGCTGAGGGACAGTAAATCCTTAAAAGGCTTGGACTCCTGCGGCTCATGTGCATGTGAGCATGTCCTTGGTGAAAGGAAACAGTTCAACGGGAAGACGCGGATTTAACAGCAAGCAAAGCGTTGTTCACCTAGTTGTACAAGACTTGGTGGAGTTCCCTAAACACCTTCTCAACAGACATAGTCTTACAGTGCTGCGTCTCTGCTTGTTTTGTGGATGAAAGGATGTTGTAGCTTAAATCTGGCAGTGAAGCCACTGCTAAGTAAGATGAAAGCTACAATTTTGGTTTCTCTGTTCTAATTTGAGAATAGTATCTGGAGCAGATGAAAGGTGCTGGGTCATTAACGGTCCTGTTCTGAAAGGTGTTAGGAAAGCTTATCAATTTGCATGTGTCTATCTCGACATCCCTGGCCTAACTCTCTCACACAAGGATAAGCTTTTTCACCTCAAGCAGCTGCTGTTGGGAACACTGATGACTGAAGAGCAAGTGGATAGGGAATGTGTTCTGTGTGTCAGGTATTAATCCCACGTGGTTTGAACTGACCTGCACTGTGTCTCACTTTGAGTAACTCTTCCCATGTGAACCCTGGCAGCTCAAATTGTCTTTGATTTATGTAGAGCATCTATCTAGAGCAACTTTCTAGGCCCCAAACTCTGATTTTTTTTTATAGAGTGCAAAAAACGCAGTAACTTAATACCTTCTGAGGAAAGAAAAAGTGCATTCAAAGGTTCTCTGTGCCCCAGTTGTAAAGCTCTTCCCATTTACAACTCTCCAATGAGCCTATTCGACTGTGATTTCACTCTCAAGTGGGCAAGACTGCCTTTCTTTTTTCTTTTCCATTTCAGATGGACATGGTTTTTGGTTGTTTTGAAAAATACTGCAGTAATGAAGGTTGAGGCATTCCTGTTTTTTCCCCCTTACAAATCTAACAGTCTCAAAAGACAGGAAGCCTGCAATTCCGTAATGGATCTCTCTGCATCCGTGTGTCTTTTATAGGCAAATGCTTATTAACGAGTATTGCTAACTTCTTGCCAGGCATATGAAGTGTAATGCCAGGTTGTATCTTTTGTTATAGAAGTAGAAGCCTTTGGTCCATCCCAGATGTCAGAGAAGATCCTTCTCAGGCTGCTAAAACATCCCAACGTTATCCAGGAGCTGAAATACGACGAGAAGAACAAGAAAGCCCCAGAACACTACCTCTACCAGCGAAACAAGCCTGTTGACTACTTCATTCTCATTTTACAGGTCAGACATGTGATTATGTTGCTATGTGCAGTATCATGCATCTCCTGACACACTGCTTTTGCTACCTCTCTTGTTGAATTTTATCTTCTTCCAACCATAGGTTTGGAGCTATGGTTTGTGGTAACTGCTCCAGTCTCCTTTATGAGCTTAACAACTTGAAGAGCTCACTCTGCTGTGATGGGCAGACAGTGCTTCCCACTGCATCATCTGATTGAAGTTATTTATGCTTTAGGTATTACTAGGATCAGCAGTGCAAAAGAATCCCTGTGTACAGCTAGCATTGCTTGGAAAACAGGGGTACAAAAAATGTCACGTCAGTAGGAGCTTGGCCAGGATGCTTCACAAATGCATTCTTTGGTTTGCAGAAGGAGGCATGGGGAGTTTGACAGTTCGGAAAGATGGTGTTTTTCCATGCAATTTTGAAGCCTGCACCTTTGGTGGTGTGCTAAATGCAGGTTTTAGTGGGGCCATTGCGCCATCTACTGAACCCCTGCCACCTCCTGCCACAGCCCCTGCAGTTCCCTGGGCACCCTGCCACCTCAGCTCTTGCCCTACCCCGAGAAAGTTGCATTTGGGTGATTTTTAGATTGCCGCCCTAGAGGGTGTGGAAGGACTTCTTTCTGTCCACTACAGGTTCATTTTCAGTGCTGATTATCTCCTAGGGTCTGTTACTTGGCAGGAACATTCTAGCACTGTTTGAGCAGGAACATTTTGCTGGAAAGGTGCTTATGTGTCTATCCTGGACAACTGAAATGAGTTTTGGTTTACAAACATAGGCATTGTAGCTGAAGTTGTAACACAGGGCTTGAAATCTCCCTCACCTTTGCCTTTAAAAAAAAAAACAAAAGGAGTGGGTGCCAGGGGGATCAAACATCATTAGTGATAAACAATGAAGAAAGCACTGGAACATGGTATTGTGGATTCAACATGCCTCTATTTTAGAAAAGAATTAGGTTGTTTTTTGTTTTTCTTTTTTAAGTGTTTGAGGAGCCACTGGTAGCTCTTTAACTGCTCTTTCTTATGTGCTGAGTTGTTGCAATCTAAAATACTCCAGAGGCAAGATAATGCTTCTGGATGAGGTAATGCTGCAAAGCTGTGAGTGGAGGACATGTGCAATCTAAAAGAACAATTGGTTCTTTCTGAGCTACTCTCCAGTCAATAAATATTTAGTGAAAACAGTGTGCTAAGTCTATAATGCATTTGGAAAAATGAGTTTTGTGGTAGATGCACGCTATAAAAATGGTAACATTGGTTCTGCAGGGATGAAGAGGATCAATACTCTGCTTTTGTTACTTAAAATATCTGGTCTTGGGCAGATTCTCTCGCCCGGAGCTACCAAGAATACCTTTCACAGTAAAAGCATACACGAACAAAAACATGTTCTGTGCATTAAATTCACCAACTTAATCTCTGTAGAGTTACTGTTTTAGTTGGAAGGTCACCTTATGCGAGTTTTTCTTTAGCTACTGAGAAGTTCTTCTGTAGCAGTTTGAGATTTGTTTCTGTCATTCTGTTCTTTCAAAATTCATGTCGGGGCATTAAGCAGGGGAGAAACAGAAACCGTGGATGCATGTGTTTAAACAGGGCAGCTCACATCAGACTGCACATGTGGGGAGTTCTCGGTTTTCCAGCTGCTGTGACTATGCCAGGCATGCCTTACCTTCTTACGGCCACCTCCGGGAAGTGCCGTGTGTGCTGACAGAGCAGCAGTGCTGGAACTGAAGCTACACTCTTGCTGCTAGCTATTGGCTTGTATTTGTTTAGCTACTAACCCAGACCGACTGTATGTGAAGATCAAAGCCCACGTGCGTTTCTTGTGTATGTGTTTTGAAGACCTGGCCTTGGCTGGGAAATAACTAGCAGCGACAAGTAGGTTGAGAGCCCCGTTTATAACCAGTCTTGGCCTGGGTGACCAAGTTGTACCTACTGGAAAGCTTATAATGAACAAATAAGCTACCTATTGGTGTTGTGGAGTGAAATTGATTTTCAAAGGGATTATATGAAGAGGTTATTTGTGATAGCAGGGGAAAGTGGATTTGTGAGATAGGCTCTCTCTTCCTGTTAGATCGATTTTATGTTCTTTCTGATCTGGGATGGTTGGGAAAACTGACTTAGTATCAGGTGTTATGCAGGCTGATTTCATTTGCATGATTTTCTGCATCAGTACAGTGCTGTAAAATTAAAGGCATGTTTAAATAGTTTAAATAACGTTTAAGACAATAAACACATAGAAATAAAATCTTTTGGACTTACTTTCATCTGATTGTGTAGATCTGATGCTCGATTCACTTAGTACAAGTATCAAGTCTGCCCTTTCCAGCCTCGCCAGAGGGAAAGCATTGCAGGTAATTAGGCTGTTTGCCTGAAAACCCAACCTTGGTGTAGTTCAGCCTGAAAAGGTGCTTGAGATCTCTTCTTCCTGCAGTTCTGTACTGTAACTCTCAGTACAGTATCAGTAAAGATGGAGGTGAAAGCCAGGTCCCACTAAGAAGGCAATTATTTCTTCTTAGTTACATACCAAATAATTGTGATGTTTACAGCTACATTTGATAGTGTAGCTTCTGTTCTAGACTCTTTTGTGTGATACTAGCACGTGATGTTAAATGTTTGGTGCAGACCACATCAGAAATGGGTGCATAGCCTGGTAGGATGGTGGTGTATAGCTTGGGAAGCACTGAGGGTCCTTCTAGACAAGACTCTGCAAAAGAACAGGATCACAATTTAAGGGCACTGGAATGTGTAAAACGGCCAGAAACCAACAAAACTAAAATAGCCCCAAGAGTGCTGCTTCAGGAATAAGGGCTTTGTTTCTGTGGGAATCTGAGTGGTGAAAGTAGACGGCCTCCTCGTGCGTTGTATCCCATCTCCGTTTCCTGTGTTTGTGTTAGAGGGGGCTTCCTGTGAGTGTGAGCCACGGCCCCAAATGTGTAGGTGTCTCAAGACCCCAGATGACCGTGGTCCCCCATGTAAGACTGTTGTGATATTGGGGGAGTATTTTTTAACTCGCACTGGGGACACGCAGGCTGGCAGCCCTTGAAGCACATCAGTAGTACACCCTGAGCTGCCACGGGGGCCCTGCTCCTCTGCAGGGACTCACACAACCACAAAAGAGCAGAACCACCCAGGGAACAAGTGTTTTGCCCCCGGGGTCTATCCCTTTTCAGGCATCCTTACAAACTGCAGGGACCATGACATGGCTTAGTAACGTCAGGGCAAACTAGCTGTTGGGGCTCCAGTCTGGTCTTGTGCCTCCAGACCCGTGGTCCCTTTTAATTGCAGCTCTCTCTCCTTTTCCTTTAACAGGGGAAGGTGGAAGTGGAGGCTGGGAAGGAGGGGATGAAGTTTGAAGCTGGTGCTTTTTCCTACTATGGGGTGATGGCCCTCACAGCATCGCCAGGTATGTCCTCTTACCTTCTGCTTCTGGAATGCACTCGTGCACAAGCCTACCTGCTGCCGTGCGTGTGGCAGGAGGGGGCTGCGCAGGGCATCCCCCATGGTGTCCTGCGGGGCTGATGCAAACGATAAGCTCCTTGCTAGCAAAACTATTGGCACAGCATCTCCAGGAGGCACCGACACTCGTGGCAGTGCTGACTCTGAAAGCTGAGCCCTCAGGCTCCCAGAGGATGCACACAGCAGCCTTAGCGAGGGAGGTGTTTGGTCCTGGCTGGGAGCTTTGTATTGCTTCTCACTGTAGCATAGCACAGGATTGAATTAATGAGAATAAATAATTAGTAGCAGAGGGACATCTAGTGGTGTAGCATACAAACAACTTGCTGTTTTCGATATGGTTTGCTTTACCCAGTGTTGGTTCTAAAGGCCTTTTGAGGGAAACGAGGGCAGTGGGACAAGGAAAAGAGATTGTTCCTGTAGCTTGTGCAGAGATGTAACTGGGAGATCAGCAAGAGGGAGAGCTGGCGGCTGAGGCTGAGACGTGAGTGAATTCCCAGTGCATAAACAGCAGCTGCACAACCCAGCATCTCACACACACATCAGGGAGCTGCCAGATAATCATCCAGGAGCATGCTTCAGTGCTCCAGTGGGTGTCATCCTGCTGTCCCTTTGCACTCGCTGCCATACCTGGTCATGCATTTCAGTGCCAGCAGCATCACCTTTTAGATCACAGAGATCTTGGTTTGGCATCCCCAGCCCTGGTAGAAGAACTGGGGCCTTAGTGCTGGCATAGGCCATCTGCTCACCCTGTCACCTCAAGGAGAAGTTCTCGTGCAGAAATCACTTCTGTGTAGAGGCACAGCAGATTCGTGTTCCACATGAGAGGCAGCTTGTTATGATAGTAGGTTAATGGGAACTCTCTGTATGTGTACCTATGTATATGCACACCAGGGAATGGGCTTTGGAATGAAACTTGCTTTGTAGGTTATGAATTTAGCCATATTAAAGTCGACAAACATCAGCAGGTCCCATGGAAGTCTGAGGAGCAGCTGGTAGCTCTGTGTTGCCATTTTACCAATCCTCTACTGGCTCTCTGTTAGGAGCTAAAGAAAGAGTAATTCTTCCTTAATTACGTGAGCTTTAATCGATCTCACTTGTACTTTCTGAGGCTTGACAGATTTGGAAGCGTGCAGACCATTGGGTGGATTTTACCTGTACAGTAGCAGCAGTCTTCACGATGAATCATATGTAACGTGTATGTGTGTACAACTGGGTCACATTGCTGTTTCTTTGCCATCGAAGCTCAGGTTTTACAATATGGGCCAAACAGAGCTGGCTTAGGCACGACCACTTCTCTCCTCCCAGACCTAAGCTCGGAAATCATTTGTGGCATCTCTTTTTTTTTGCCGGCGTTGTTCAGTTTGAATGTTCTTGTGTTTCCTTCTCATGTTGCTAACCCTCCCTGCAACCATGCCAGTTGCCCCAAGTCCTGTGAGATCAAATGGCTTCCCTGTTCATGCCTCTGCCCTGAAATCCATCTTGGATTGGTTTTGTCAGACTAAAGCATGTACATTTTTTTAAATTAAACTTGGCCAACCTTGGATTTGCTAACGTGTGGTTGATTGGCTTTTACCAGTAGCAAACCCATCCTTTTGCTGTTTTTTTTTTCTTTCTTTTTTTTTTTTTTCCCAGATTTGAGAGAAATTGCTTTATGATGTCTTGAAGCATCAAGAGACTTCTGTTAGGATGAGCTTGTAAAATTGAAGTAGTTCTTGTTGCTCTAAGTAGACATGAAAGCTCATTTAGAGTATAAACCCTCAGAGAACAAGGGAAAACTGTTCTTCCCTATCTCCTGATGAGATGTCATGTGCCCGCTCTCCCCACCTGGAATATGAAGCCAGTTAGAGGAGATTAAGGCATGTTTTCAAAAAATTGAACAACAAATCAGCGAAGCTTTCATTAACTACAGCTGGGGAGGGATTACAGGCATGACAAGCAGTACTTGACCCATTCTGGTAGGGATGAGCTTGGAGAATCACAAACTTGCTTGACTTGTTACCGAAAACTTGGAGTGCCCTTTGGTTTTATTTCTATTTTTATTTTATTCCAATGAGGAACTGCACCCTTGAAAGCTTTCTGGTTGTTTTAACTCTTTGCCTTCCAGGCTGGAGTGGGCACCACCGCTCCTTTTGAACTGTTTTAAAAATGAGTGTACCTTGTTGGACCATTCCGTACTGGATGACCATTCAAACTATCACGTGAAAGTTGTTCACTGTAATTCCACAGGCTTGTTCTTTGGTTCATTCCTAAAACTGTTTGATTGTCTTTTTTGTTTTGTTGTTGTTGCTGTTGTTGTTTATTTTAACCCTTTACTTTTCCACAGTTGATTTGCACTTTTGGTTTTAGTTCTTCAGTGTGTGAACTGGCTCCCTCCCCTGTCGAGTGTGGATAGCTGCCGCCTTTCTGGTCGTGATCTCATCCTTTTTCTCTCCCTCTTCTAGTTCCCTTGTCCCTGTCTCGTACCTTTGTTGTCAGCAGAACAGAGTTGTTAGCAGCAGGTTCTTCAGGTAAATCCGCATGCTTCTATTTTCACCATTCTTGTGACTGCCCTGATGCCATAAAAAGTCAGCTGCAGTCTGTATTTATCTGACCCCTTTGCTCGTTAGGGAGAAGTCCAGCACAGAATTATGCCTCGCAGGTAGGTATCCTGAACTGTCATTTGTGATAACTGGTAGCAACGTGAAGGAGTCATCCAGATGGGAAGAGCTGAAAACACATTTAAGAAAAATGTATTTGGTAATGTGCACTTGTTCTTGTTTCTTGTATGTCAACTGGTAGAAGGAAGATTTAAAAAAAAGTATCCTCTCCCAAGCTGAGATTTAAGAACTTAAAAATTTCCTGAAGAAAATGCATTTGGCAGAGGAGAAGGTTTAAACTGCCTTAAAAGGAGAAATCCTTTAATGAGAGAATTCTGATATTCTCATACGGGCTAGCTCTATGGTTTGAATACAGTCTGGCCATTTCAAGTGCTCAGAAGCTTTAAATTTTCTTTCAATGAGGTTAATGCTGTGAATTGGTACAGAGATTTACTGAGTGGATGGATTTGCAATGGAATGTGCAGTAAGGCTGAGGGAGCTCCTGTGGGTTTTGGTTCCCATTTTGCTCAAGACCTTTCCTCGCTGAATGACAAGTTGATTGACAGCAAAATCCCTTCGGAGAGTGGAGACCAAGGAGAGAACAAATTGGGCCAAAATGAGCTCTGAGATGTGGCTGAGAAGCTGGAAATTGGGAAAGGTCAAGAACCGAGCTTTGCAGACACTGCATGCACAGAGCAGTTGAGAAAGATGGAGACCCACCAGGAGAGTGCGTAGGAACAGCAGAATCCTAAAATAATCTGGGCCACCCTGAACATGTTTCTTCCCTTTGAAGTTTTCTTTTTCAGATGAAATGTGTCTTTCCCTGGACCTAAAAGCAAACAAGATAATGATATGCATATTTAAGTGAAACATCTAAACGTCAGTACATATCATGCAATTCATAAACTTTCACCATCTGCTTCCTGTATTTTTTCTGTCTTCTTTTTTTTTTCAGTTTTGAAATTGTATTTCACCATCAGTCCTTAAATTAGTCTCATGCACTTTCCAAACAAACTACAGGTTGTTGCCCTGCAGGGGATTTTTTCCTGCCCTTTTAAAGTTTCCTGCTGCTAAACTTAAAAGAAAGGGGAGAAATATAATCTTTCTTTAATTAAAGTACCTGATGGCTTTCTTTTAAGCTCGGTGGCTTTGATTATCTTTTTTAGCTTGGTTCTTTTGTTTTGCCAGGTCTTCTTTTTTTTTTTCTTTTTTCTGTTTCCAAATAAGTGTATACCTTGCACATGCAAATTGTTCCCAATATAAATGCCAAGCATATTTTCCTAGCTTTTTGTCCCAATCAAAAAAAAAAAAATCAGTAATGGAAAATAAAAATGGGAAGAATCTCCTTTGAAAGGAACTGATAGAGCCTGGTCACTATGACAATGTCGTGCCAGTTCTGATGAAACCCAGGCCTTCTGCTGGGTCCTTCTAAAAAGGAACCTCTTATTAAATCCTAAATGGGTAATATGGTTGTCTTGATATTTGTCTTGTGGTTTGCGCTCTTAATGCCCAGTATGTACAGGTGAGGAAAACTGGGGTAGAAAAAATCTGGCAGGGCCCTGTTCTGCCAACACGGTCCTGCCTGCTGCTCCCTCTGTCATCTGCCCTTCGTGTCCTCCCTTCTGCAGTAACTTCTCCCCACCAACTTGTACGTGGCTCCAGAAGCAACGTCCTTTCCCTCTTATTTTTAGCAGTCGTATTTCTTTGTTCTGTCCTTTTGTCCATTTATTTTAATCTGCTTTGTCACGAAGCTCTCTGTCCTTAGCTTTTTATTAGTAGCGTACTGTGAGACACCTGGTGAAAGCAGAGGGCAAAGCGGAGTCAGGCCAGTGGAAAGCTGTTCCAGATGGAAGCCTTTATCCCAAACAGCAGTGATGCTGCTCCTGTCACACACAGCCAGATTTTGTGTACACAGGTGGGAAAGACAGGACAAATTTGTTCAATCTTCATGCTTGTTCTTCGGAAAGGCTTAGGGCACCAAGCCTCATGTGCAGACAGAGGTTTGGCTCCTGGCAGCAGTTCCTGTAGCCCGTTGTGGCTTTCAAGATGGCAAATGGGTACCTGAGGAAAACCTTGCAGGGCTCTGAGTGCTTCCCTCTAAGCCTCTGCTTGGTGTTACCATAGGGACCTGCACTAATTCCTCGTAGTGCAGAAGTGGCAGAAAATTTGCCAAGCTCTCAGAACCTGTATTTTTCCATTCCCTTTTCTAAAATAGGAGGAAAGAAGACGTCAGTGGCATTGCAAGTGGGAAATAAAAAAATAGGGCTGGTAATCCACAGTCACATATCTAGAAGCATCTAAAGCATTAGGTTTAGGGAAGCCTAGATGTAAAGATGTGGAACAGGCTATGTCATTTTGGCAAGAGAGGTATGTTCATGGTGATTAAATGGCAAAGGTAGGATTGAATTTTAGTGAGCTTTTTTTAGACCACTTTATATATTTAAAAATCATAAAATTTGAAAAACTTACAAGGATGTTGTTGATTTGCTCAGAGGCTTTGTATCTTCAGATTATGTGAAAATGATGCCTCAGCTGAGAACGGAGATTGTGTGGGGAGTAGCACAGATGCCATGAAGTTACTGTTTGGTCTGGATGAATGAAATATAACTGCAGTAAGATCCAAAAATTCACCAGTCCCAAAGCGTTCTTTGATCTTTGTACGTGCACCCAGGGAGAAGCCCATCTGCAGACATGCTTGGGATCTCTTTTAGGATGCATTTCTGCATGTCCTCCTGTCATCTGAGTCACTGTGTGGGTGGAAGCTAGGGGTGCAAAATGCCTGTGGCTTGCTGAAAGCACGTTTACATGGGAGGAACTGTGACCCATCGCATTCTTAAGGGGTAGCTGCAAGATTTTCAAGTGAAACCCTACAGTGCTTAAAGGCCAGTGATGGAAAGTAATATCTCTAGTTTACTCCTTTCCTGTCCATGTCTCTCCTGGATGCAGATTTTTCTGTGTAGCATGGACTGTTTTCCCTGTTTTGCTGGCTGGTGTGCACCATGTGGAGCTTGCTCCCCTTCATGGAGTCTTTCTCCCTTCAAGCATCGGGGGGTACAGGAGGGAACATTGCTGAAGCAATCATCACGTGGACTGTCCTCCGGTCCACTGAAGACTCTATCACTCTGATATTTTTAAAAATGACTGTTCTAACCCAGGAAACAAGGTGGTATTTGCAGGTACCACATATAATAAAATGGGCTAAGGGTTAGCAGGGACTGACTGTGGATGAAAGGTCTGGTATGGAGTTACAACTATAAACCATTAAGAAAAAAAACAAACAACTATTAAGCACGGTCTGACTATCAAGAGCTCCTGAATGGAGCCTTGGGAGTTTGCCTCTTCCATTGGCAGGAGCACTGTGACCAAGTGTGCACAGGGCACATCCACCGTAGCACAAACCAAACCAGGTTGGTTTAAATCCTACTCATGATGTTGGCTACCAGCTCGGGATTCAAAATATGCTCTTTTTCAGGGTCATTTTGTTGTTTAGCTGCATGTCTACGTAAGAGTAGGTTAAGTATTTGCAGATGCTCTGTGTTACTTTGCGATTAATGATGTCCCTTTGAAACTGGTGGCTTCGAATGTGTTCTGCTTGATTTAAGATGTCTTTTGCTCTTGCCCATTTCTCAGCCGAAAACAAGTCTCCACCTCGGCCCTGTGGCTTGAATCACTCAGACTCTTTAAACCGAAGTGATCGCATCGACGCAGTGACACCGACGTTAGGGAGCAGCAACAACCAGCTGAATGCGTCTTTCCTCCAAGTGTACGTCCCGGACTACTCAGTGAAAGCACTCACAGACATTCAGTTTGTCAAGGTAGGAAAAAAAATGATAAAGCCCCAGGAAAAAATGCGGGGGGCTGGGCTGGGCTGGGCTGATGGGATGGAGAGCCTGGGGAAGGGAGGTCCCTCTAGATTGCTTTGTAGCTCTGTGAGTAAGTAGGTTTATGAAAACAGCCACTAGAAAATCACTTTAAATACTTTTTCTCAGTCTCTGCTGTCCGATGATTTGTCTTCAGTGTTCCTTTTATTTAGGCCTGTAAGCAGATTGGTCACACAAGTTTCTGGATTTCAGGTCCCCTGGGGAGAGATAGTAGAAAACACCCTCTCTGCTTTTAGTCCTGAAAGACGTAGCTTGTGAAGCCTTTGGAGCCATCCGAATGGAGATCTGACAGCATCCTTTTCTAAAGGACGAGACATTTTGTGTTCATTGCAGTATTCATTCACTTTTGATTTTGGTTTTAGTTTGGGGTTCTTGATCTTACTTTCTAACTTGTCATCCTGCTCGGAGATGTCTTGGACATTCATCTTTATCTTAACTTGATGTTAGGCTCATGTCTCACACTACCAGTGAGTGGCTGCACGGATACAGCTCTGTCCCCCAGCATGGTGCATCCCACGCTGAAATGTGTGCAAGTCCTGTGGGATAAGGAAATGTAGCTGAGCTGAGGAGCCCAAATGCTGGCAGCAGTTCCAGCCCAGCTGGGAGTCGAGGGAAGCTGACGTCCCATGGCCAGAAATTGACCTTGATGCTTTTCTTAAATTAAGTGCACACTCAAATTTTCTTTGTGTGCAACCCAAATGATTCATGAACTCAACTCCTGTCAAAGTTAATTCAATATTGAAATTGTGGAATGGAATAGAAATACTAGAATGCTAAATCAATTGTTCCACACCTACAGGTAGCCAAATTTTAAAAAGAGAGTACAGTCTCTGATTGAAAACTTGACAAATGCAGTGGTTCAGTAGTGATTTGACCCATCTGAGTCTCTCTATTTCCAGTCCCTCTGCTCTGTTGCTACCAAAACTTGATTTTCTCAAATCTTGCTCCCCCGTACCACCATATCCAGCAGTATGGGACTATGACATCCTCACACCTGGTGCCCCACAGGCAGCATCAAAATGCTCTGTGCTCTAGGCCAGCTCCTGCCATGACTGCCCTGCTAAGTGCAGGAAGGGGAAAACTTTATGGGTTGCTAATTAGGTCTAGACTCTGTGGAGACCCCAATCTTTTTTAGAATCAAATGCTCTTATGTATCAGGATAAGGAACTAGATCCTGCTGCATTTGCTGCCCTAGACAAGGGCAGCAATGTTCTTGCCCTCTAGCTCTGTGAGGACTTTTAGAGCCTCTCCCAGAGCTCACTGAAGCTGGGGAAAAGACTGAACTCTGGTTTGGGCCCTAAAATTGTGCATGGTTAGAAGGAAATGGAGGCCTGGTTTAAAAAATCTCTGCACAGGAATGTTTTATAGCAGTGGAGTTGATGCCAGGTAAACTGGGGTTGAAGTGTGCAAGGTACCTCATTTTCCTTCCGTGTCCAGCGCAGACACAAAATGTGACTGGCTCTTTTCGTTCCTTCCTTCCGTGCTCGGAGCAGATCTCCAGACAGCAGTACCAAAATGCCCTGATGGCATCCCGGATGGACAAAACACCTCAGTCCTCGGACAGTGAAAACACTAAAATCGAACTGACTCTTACGGAGCTGCATGACGGTTTGCCGGACGAGACAGCAAACCTGCTGAACGAACAGAACTGTGTGACTCACAACAAGCCCAACCACAGTATGCACAGTGAAGGAGCCATCTAGGAGCTGACCTCCCACAACCCACCCATCCCATCTCCTCAGCAGGACCAGCCCTCGCTCCTTCCTGCCTCCTCCCCGAGTGTGAACACCGTTAGTATGTGCTTGCGACACTGTGCTGCATCCAGTGTTCTGAGACCAAAGACTTGTGCGTCCGTTCTGGGAGCAGAAGAGGAAGAAACGGGAAGAAAGGAGCAAAGAGCAAGACAGAGAGAGACTAAAGCCCCAAGTGTACTTTGGGAATGGTGAGCCACCCTTGAGAACAATGAACATACTTCCTGCAAAGCAGAATCATGTTTATTTTTTATCTGTATTTTTGATCCTTGTTGGGTTTTTTCCTCCTCAAACACATATGGAGAAGTTTAAAAGCTGCTCCGGTTATTTTTTCAAGAGAGATCATGTTTTTAAAAAGTATTTTGCAGAGTTTTAAATTGTTTCTGTCCCTCCCCAGCCTCAGATAGGCTCTGTTGTGATTTTGTGAATTGGCTCCAAAGTCCTTAGGCCTCTTTTCACCCCTCTCTGGTCCTTTTTGTTGCCCTGTTGAAGAAGTTAGTAACTGGTACTTGTATGTATTTGTGTCCTAAGAATGAGTAAGCTTCAAGGAAACTCTGGTTTCAGCCACCTGGAGGGTCAAGGGATGAGTATTATTACATTCTCCCAGTTAAGTTTCAGGGAAGGAGGAGCGATTATTTTGGTATTTAACGATCCCTCAAATTTCTGAAGGTTTCTTTGTAAAACGGACAAAAGCATTGTTAACACTTGCCGTTTTGTAACCTCCAAAACCTTTGTGGGTGTTGAAGATGATTCTGGGGGGCAGGAGTTAATTAGCAAAACTGCAAGTCTGGTGAAATGAAAGGCAGGTGTCATTTTCCGTGCTGACCTAAGGGGGTGGTTTTTCCTTGGAGTTCCTGACGGTTGCATTGTGAAGTCCTGTGTGCACCTGACAACAACGAGCTTTTAAGCACTTGCATGCTGTAGTGGTCTGTGCACCATTACCCAGAGCAGCTGTGCAGTCTTTGTTAAATAACACGGAACGGCCCCTCTCCCCCCACCCCCGTGAGATCTCTAGTATTAACACAAAAGATGCTGCTACAGTTATGCCCAAAGTACATCCTCCAGGTGACGGCAAACCTCTGCCAGCGCAAGGATGGGCTCCGCCGAGGAGCTGGGACCATCCTGCCCTCTCCAAGAACTGACCAAACTTTCCAGACGCGAGTGTTTTGCACTTCAGGGATTCGGAGAGGTTTGTTTCCGGGCTCTTCCCAGCCACATTCCTTCCTTTGAGCGGATTCAGTGCATTTCCTTCTCTCTTGCCCCTTCTAACAGCCATTTGAGGGATTACCGTGGTAGCAGAGCAGAGAGCCTCCCACCCAGCTGCCTCGTGCTGGGCAGCAGACACCAATTCCTCCACCCCAAAAACCTGCGTGTGGATGGGGTGGAAGTGAGAGGCTCCCCGTGGCAGTTGTGCATCACACATTCCCCGCTCCCACAGATGGATTTTAAATCCTCAAATGAAAAAAAAAAAACAAACAACAAAAATGCTCCCCCCTCCCGATTGTCCCCCCTCCCAGTGCCGTCTCAAACAAAATGTGATACAAGGAGAGAGCGCTGACTCGGGCATCGTGGGTTACGCAGCATTTCCCTTCCCTTCTGTGCACCCAGGTCACCTCAGCCGACCCCCAGAGAAGCCTCCAGCCCCAAAAGCAACTGCCAGAGCTCTGTGCCTGCGTGCCTGCCCCGCTCTGGTCAGGGAAGGCACCCTAACACGTCCCCACCCTCGGTGCCCGCCGTCTGGCTCGCTGCCTGCTGCCTGGAAAGGTGCAATACCCGCTGCGGGAGATCGGGGCCGGCAGCTCTGGGAACAAACCAGGGCCCCTAAACTCGACTCCTGCATTAAATTTTATTAACTTTTCCCATCCAAAAACATCTTCTTAGACTCCAGTCGTGCTCTGCCTGCACCCAGAGCTCAGGGCTGGCTCCTTCCCAGCGAGCCGCGGGTATTGCACCTTTCTCCCAAGGCGAAGCAGGGAGATGTCGCAGCGTTTGTCCCTGTCTGAGCGCTGTTCATCCAGCGCTGATGAATGTAAAAGTTTGTCGGAAGTGTCTGACGCGGTGGTGAACGCGAGATGCAGTATCTGTGTTGTCAAACCTGCTGCAGGAGGGAAGGCTCGAGCCAAGGCAGCTCCCCCTCGGGGACGAGGCTGCTTGCTAGATCTGACTTCTGCTTCTTACGGCAGGTGATGGATTTGTTTTAGTGTCTGTTTCCATTAAATAATAATAATAAAAAAAAAAAAGCCAAATTTTTCCAACCAAAGCCATGTGATCCCAAAGCAAATACCTCCTGCTTCTGCCCGTGCTGCACTGTTCCGAAATTTCCAGGCGATTTTGTGCATGACTGTTTGTCCTCATTCGTACGGATCCAGTAACGGGAAGCGAAACGATTGCCAGAAAAAGAGTTGCTTATGGATGTGTTTCAGATGGAAAACACGTACCTGCCCCGGAGGGGTTAGGAGCTGCTACTATTAATTAGCTTGAAGAGCAAGGCTTGGTCCTCTCCGCGGAGGGGAAAGCGTCCCGTCTCCCTGTTCTCAGGGTATTTGCAGTTTTACTGTTTAACAAATGCCAGGGGCTCCCTGCCCTGGTGCCGGGAGCCAGCACACACAGAGGAGCCCCGCACCCAGCTCAGGATGGCTGCTGAGGCTCCGGACGGTGTTTGCAGAAGCAGAGGTGGAAACGCCCCGGGCTCTGAGGCCGTGCCCGTGCTGGGGGGGCCGCTTCCCCTGGCTCACCGCTGGCCTTCAGGTGGGCTCGGATCCGTGCCACGTCCCCGCAGCATCAGGGTGGCGCGGGGCACCAGCGGGGGGCTTTGGGAGCCGTTGGACTTGACCTCAGACCTTGGCAAGGCTTTGACTCATAGAAAGGATACTGCATCTTCCCGTGTCGGCCCCCGCTGCCCGCCGCCTTTCCCGGCCCCCTCGGCCTCCCGGCGCGGGCAGGGGGGCGGCCGGCGGCCCGACGGCCTGGGGAGGGCACCTAGCCATGGTTTCTACTGTCAATACAATTTTGCACAAGAGTTCTTTGAAAGTGACGTTTTAAACACTAATATCTTCAATGCACAACTGTGAATTATAACTTTTACACTCCTGTTGGTTGAATTTCCTTTAAATGAAATGAACCCGAATCTGTTGTAACTATGATTTATTATTATTATTATTTTTTTTTAAATTCTGTGTATTGCCAAATCTTTGTAAAGAGTGAAGGAATGTTCTTGCTTTCCAATGAGAATCTTTCTCCAAACGAGACTGGCTCTGGTGACGTGGAGATGCTACGGAGCACGCTAGCTGAGCGGAGAGGGGCTCGGGTGGGCTTAGCCAAGCAGCCTCGTCCCCTCTGCAGGCCCCGGAGCTGACCGAGCGCTGTCTGTCCGTCCCTTCCGTCTCCTCCCTCAAAGCACAGGAGCTCGGGACGGGGCGTCCCAGCAGGGTGAGGAGCGGAGACGGGGTGCCAGCAGGGCAGGAGGTGCTGCGCCCCATGGTGTGGGTCTTCCCCGTGCTTTCCTCTCCTGCTCCCAGCTGTAGCCATGCTCCTCTCACCCCCTTTTTGCCCCCCGACACACACACACGTCCTGCTCCAGGCCCCGTCTGACACCGGGACCTGCACGGGGCAGCAGGAGCTGGGAACTCTGTGCCTGGGGACATGGCTGGGGCGAGGTCTTGGGATCGTTTGAAGAGGGGTCAGCTGCTCCAGGTCCGTTCCTCCTTCCTTCTGTCCTCACCGCAGGGTTATTATTGTATATTTTTTTCTTCTTTTTCTTTAAGTGCCTTTTTGTGCAGGTGGAGCTGGCAGGAGCAGGGGTCTCAGGACGTGCCCTGTGCGCTCACCCAGACCTGGAGGCAGCCCGGGGGGAGCAGGGCGAGCCGCCCGTGATGACCTGCGGACGTCGCCCCTTGCTGCTCCTCAGCCTTCAGGGCCCAGCTCAGGCTGGGACGCCGTTTTGGCACTGCCGGCGTCGGGCTCTGGCTCAGTTCAGCTCAGAGGGAAGAAAACCAAAGAGGCAGCTGCGTGCGAGGGGCAGTGGGGGTGCTTCCTGTGATCGCCACAGAGCCCAGCCCAGGGCCGTGGGTGCGGATGGCAAGGAGCAGCGCCGTCTCCTCGCGAGCATCCCGTGTAAGTACCCTGCACCATGGGGAGCACGGCCACGTCCTCCGGGAGCAGCTGGGACACGCATCGCCCTCGTGCTGAACTAGGCTATTGCTAGAAACAGTTCCCACATGAAAGCTGTACCGTGGTTTATCTGCTAATACACACGTCTGGGGTTTTAAAACCAGTACGAGTTGTCGAGTTACCCAGGGTCTGGATTGCCAGGAGAAAAGCGGGACTGGTGGGAGGGGAGCGATGCCGCAAGGTGTCCAACCAGCCTCGGCCACGCACGGAGCAGGAGCCCAGCAGGTGCTGAGAGGCTCCGTGTGCCACGGACATGGGCTTGCTGCACGTCCCGCTGCCCTGGCTTCACAGCGGGGCTCTAAACAGACCCAAAGAAGCGCCCAGCCCCTGGATACCGAGGGTTGTTCTGTCCCAGCAAAGGAATGAGAAGCTGAACGAGCGTGACTGCCACCAGGCATCTTCTCACTGCACAGAGGAGAGAGCAGCCTTCATCCTGAACGGGCCAGCAGCGGGGACGAGCTCTGCACTGCGGGCTGGGAAGCTGCCCCCACCCCTGCCCTCCTCTCACAGCTGGTCTGAGGGGTGCAGGTCTCATTGCTGCGGTCCCTGTGGCCTCATTCCTGTGGCTCCATGGCATGGGGAAGTTGGACGCTTCCCACAGAGCCCCCCAGTCCTGCTCAGTGTCTTGCTGTAGTTCCGGAGCCAGGCTTCGTCCTGGGTGTGTTCCTCTGCCTGTAGCTTCACAGCCATGTTCTTGAGGTGGTGTCTGAGCGAGGGGATGCTGTTGATGCAGGTGCCAAGCGGTGCGGTGCAGCTTTTCGGTTTGGTTTGCCTTCTTGCTGTTCTGTTAGGGGCTGGCTGCTGACCTGGGGAGGCTGCTGCATTCCCCAGGAGAAAGCCTGGGCTGCCAGGTTGTCCCAGCACCGAGCTGAGGGAAGGGAAAAGAAGGGAAGGAAAAGGGATGCTGGCAAGCTGCCTCCATCCTGTGGCATGGTACAGGTGGCAGAGGGGGTTTGACAGGTCAGTAGCACCAAACTATCAAAGTGACAATGTTCTCGTTAGCCTCAGGTCAGACCGAAATGGTTCTGCACCAAGCTCAGGTACGAAGGGTCTGGCTGCATCTGAACGAGAGGTGCAGAGCCCGTTGTAGAGCCTGGCTTCAGGTTTTGCTGTTGGGAGCCCCGCAAGTGCCTGAGATGGGCAGAGGCTGCAGGCGGCTCCATGCTCAAGAGGTGGCTCAGCTTTTTTGTCTTTCTTCCTCCTGGAGGCAGGATAGGAGTTGGCTGAGGAGCAGGGTTTGTTGGGGAGGAAAAGGCTCATCCCAGCATTAGGGCTTGGTGGCGCAGTCTAGCGTCACATTTCAGCTGTCTGGAGGCCACGGAGCTTTATGAAAGGAAGGCGTTAACCTCTGGTGATCGCCGTTGTACCAAATCCTTCCAAATTCAAGTGAGAAACCTCTGGGTGTCAGACGAGTAGCCTGCACCATAGGCCTTTAGTTGGAAGTGCCAATACTGAAGGAAACCTTCTGGTTTTCTCCAAAGATCAGCGTGGGCACGTGCCTGCGTTCCCCAACCTAGAACTGGGAGAACCTGGAACCTAGAACCTGGAACTGGGAGAGTGGAAACCCAGCGGGACCAGCAGCGCTGTGACCCGGCTGTGTTCGCAGAGCTCCCAAGCACAGGGTGTGTTACCAGCCCTGCCGGGGGCCTCGGAGCCTCTCACACGTGGTTTTTTCCAGCACACGCAGCTGGAGATCAAAGCTCAGAAACCGAATCACCGGGCAGACACCCGGCTGCCAAACGCATTTGAGGCTGAAAACCCAGATACTCGAGAGCACGGCCCTGCGGGTTTCTGCAACTGGTGGGCTCCGAACCCAAACCTTTCTCCTCCATCAGGGCCTTCCCAAAAACCTGTGCCCAGGCTGTGCAGCTCCTCCTGGCTCCCTCCACTCACCCTTTGTGTCCCTCTCTGCTCCCAGCTTCGCGCTCACCCGCGGCGCTGTGTCCGGCCCCCCTCAGCCGCCCACCCGAGGTCCCTGCCCGCATCTGTCGCCCACCACCCCTGGTCCCTGCCCGTTGTATCATACTGTACATGACGCCGAGGTGCCCGCGTTGTAGTGTTCCGACTGCAGTATTTCCTTCTGTGTACATAAACCCGAGTAAGCACAGCCAAGCTCGTGAATGCAGCGTGTACGTTTCATATCCTGATTGTCATACGAACGGATTTTATAATTATTCGAATTTTGTTGTAGATTTCCAATCTTTCCTATTTATTTTGTACCAGATTTATCTGTATATTTTGTGATTTTGTTGAAAAGCATTTTGTTTATTTCTATTCTTTTTAGATAAATGATTTTTTTTTTCTGTTGGACATTCCAGTTTATGCATTTTTCCCTCCTCCACGCTCCCCCCTCCTTTCCAAGGGACGCCTTTCGGCACGCGGGTGGTGGGGCTGATGCCGCTGACCATGGACCCAGCTCTCCGCAGACCTTTTGCCTCCTCTGCAGTTGTCAAGAGCCACGGCGAGGCCGGACCCCGTTCCCCGCAGAGCCAGGGCTTGCTCTTTGCGCTGGTGGGTGTGACTTGTGCGGTCAGGGGGCCCTTGGTGGTGGCCGGGAGCTGGGGAGGTGGTGGCAGTGGCAAGCAGCTGATGTCCTTCCTGAAGTGCTCCCTCAAGGCGCTGGCCTCCTTCTTCCACTAATGCACAGCCCTTCCTTACACCCTGCTCGCCATACAGCACGGTTGGTTCTCGCCGGGCTCTGCCCGCTGCTTTCCCACCAGCGAGCGAGGGGCAAATATTTTCCATTGCTGCCGAGTCCTCGCCGGGAGCCGGGCAGCGAGCTATTTGTGGGACTGTGGAGGCAGGAGGAATGCGCAGAGCCCCCCACACCACCCTTCCCGCAGCCTCCCAGCTGCTGAGCTAGAGCTCGAAAAATTCGGGCGGCTCTACTTGGCGAAAGGACGGATAAACTTAGCAAATCCCAGCATGGCCTATGGCCAGAGGGCTGGGGAACGGCTCCTGCAAACCCCTCCTGCAGCTGGGCCAGGGGGCTGAGTTGGCCCAGCTGAGGCTGCTCACTGCAATCCAGCCCCAAAAGCAAGGGGTCGGGCATCCAGTGCTGGGTCTGGGGCTGTGAGCAATCACCGAAGTGTTATGGGCTCTTAACTGCTGGCCACTCTGTGGCCACATTTTGCTGCTTTTCTGGTTGGGCTCTGGGTACCAAATCCCCTTTGGTGGTGGCTCTCATGGCCCCGATGCTGGGGACGCCTGGGTGACAGCAGCGAGCTGACCCCAGTGCTGTCCCCATGGGGGTAGCAGCAGCCCTTGGCTGTGTGCTGCTGCCCAGCTGGTGCCCCTGCTGTGCCAGCACTGATTGTCCCCAGGTTCTTCTGTGTTTAATCAGGTCTGCACACCCTCCCACCCACCCCTGCGCAGCTGATGGGGGTAACACCGACCTTATTTCCCCCTTCCTTTCTGCTCAACCAGAGCAACCCCTGCAGCCAGGCTCGCTGCCACTTCCCAGGGAGGTTTGTGGTGTTTTTTTTTCCCCTCTCCGCAGCCCCCTCCCGACCCTCCCTGCTACCCCCCACACAGCCCTCGGCGTGCCACAAAGCGCCCAACACTTCTTAGAAACATCAAGATTTATTGACTTGAAAACTGCCACTTCAGCAGCAGCATTTCCTGCTCAGATGGTGGTGTGTACTTTGTTTATTTTCTCCTAAGGTACTTTAAAATGGAAAAAAAAAAAAAAAAGAAAAAAAAAAGAAAGAAAAAGATTAAATGCATTTATGGTACTGAAACAACAGTCGAATTCGTTACAAGAGGGCCCCCGCTGTAATCCCTTCAGACGCGAACGGCGCAGGCTGGAGCAAGGGAGGCGGCACCCAGGACACAGAGGAAAGCCACCGGGAGCTGCCCTGTCCCCGCAGTGTCCCCGGGCTGGCTCAGGGCTCCCTGTGCTGAGCTCCTGTATGCTCCGTGCCAGCTCAAAGGCAAAGCCTGCGGGACAGGAGCGTCCTAGCTCGCACCGTGGGGCTGGCCCTGCGGCGTGTGCTCACTCCTGGCTCAGGGCAGGCACCCGTGGCCCGCAGCACCCTAAAAACAGGCCCTTTCGCTCCAGATGGTGGCTGGTTTTGTC